CTGTCCTTCCGATCACGTTTTCTGTTACACGGTTCGAGGTCCTTCCTTCAGATTGGATAAGTGTTCGGCGACGGAGCAGTCAAAAATTGTCCACCATGCCTACACACTGACAATTTTACCTAGTGAGCCAGTTTTGTTGAAGCCGAAACGAATCCACTTCACTCTCCAATACTTGCCTTCTAAGGGCCTTTAGAAAAGGGCTTTCAAGCACCCTAAGTTAATATATTAAGCAGTCGTAAAAAGCCATGTAAATTAGTGATGTTGAGTACCATGTTCGGAAGAAGAAACATCATTTGTGCTATTTAGAATAGCGTCTAAACTAGGAATTAGAGATTAGAACAAGGTCAGAGGCACGAAGAGCTACACAACCTTTATTCTTTTTTTCACAAAAAGGCTTTCAAATAAACCACGGTTGTATGGCAGTGAAACATCGGCGTTGAACACTGATGTCATACCGTCGTTGATGGTGAGGATGAGGATGATGGCGACTTTTGTTTTCCATGCACTATAGTGTTTCGCACAAAAACGCAGAACAAAAACTATTGTTGAAAGAAATAGCGAAATACTCTCATTTGGGAACATCACAAACGAGAGATTCAGCTGGGTTACAGGTGAGTCTCTTGCAATGAGTGTATTTATCTAATTCCGTACAATCAGGTTGCAAGTAGAACATAAGGTTAACGAAATCTCGGGGACTACGCTTACCTGATGAGCCCCAAAAACGGCCCAACCCATCGTTGGCTGTGAAAGAATTTTCAGCAACCTTATGAGAAGTGCATTAGGTGTACACTGTTGAACGAGTTAATTGCCCATGTCCAAAAAATAATTTGCCCAGCAGTTTGCCTACATGCTGCTTATTATAGTCGCCTAGTTTGAGCAAAACACTTCTGCGTGCATGGAACATACTTCTTCGAACATCTTAGAGTCTTTATTCTATTGTGTTTTGATACCTCCTTTGTCCCCATTTGCATCCCAGTGTTTACTGTCAATATCTATGGTAGTTTGATCTTAGTTTTCCAGGGCACATAATTTTGAAAATTCCAAGTATGAACATAGCAGGAGTCAAATGTTTGTCATACTTACCACTGTGGCTCCACTTACGAAATGACGTGAACTTATTTCGGTTGCAGAAACAAGAACGGTATTTGTTCATACCTTGCCCTGGATACACAGAACCTGGTTCAAGTAGCTGGAAAAGGTTTGGAACCGACCGAGAAGTCATCGTTTCAGGAGAGCTTGATGAGCAATCGGTAGTTTTTATTTGGGCAACGTTTTGCTTTTGACGCAAAGTTTCATCAGGACAAGTGAGCAGGTCACCAAAATGAATCAGTCGAGCGGGCACGTGTTGGTTTGCCGTCATCAGAAGGAGTAGTCAACATCTGAATTCCACTTGACCTCACCCCCTCCCATGTCAAACTAAATTGTCGGGGCACTCTCAACCCCACAAAGACCAAGGAAATTCTGCCAGTGGCACCTGAAATAAATTGTCAATTGAAGCACCCTGAAGTGGAAGATTAAGAAACCAAACCCGGTCAGAATTAATTTGAAACTCCTCCAATCCATCAACGTAAGATTTCGACAATCACACTAGCCGACCAAAGCCGTTAGTTGACACTCAACACTTATCTAGTGTGATAATCTGAAGAGGACTTACTGATTGATTCCCTGTCTGACTTATAACCTGGTTCAAGTGAGTTAATGCAGCATGTGAAGTGAAGTCGAGGTCATGGATGAAACCTGTAATGACGTCCATTATGGTTGTTCTCTTCGTGTCACAGTGGATATGTATTATTTCCTGGCGATTCTCCAATGAATTATGGTAACCCAGCTTGTTTGTACTCCAAAGTTATCGAGTCTGAAACTTCTCATTTTTATCTCAAATGGAGGTTTAATATATTCATCATGCAAATAATGGGAGCTTCTGCAGCCCCTTCTTTTTTCAGTGCGTCCCAGCGGCCTCTTAATTATAGAGCACACAACAGAGGTTAAAAAAACATTTCGTGGGCGTTCATGGTCTTTTTTAATTTCATCAATTGTGATGGAAAATTTGTCAATTTTAAATTTTCTAAAACATATCTTTAAAGTGTCACGAAATGTGGGTAGGCTGTTCAAAATCTGACCACACGGCAGGTGATTTGTAGGTGAGTGCATAAGTTGTAACCGGATAACCGAAATACCTCAATATATCACTTTAAACTACGCAACAAACTCGAATTTTGGGTCATACAATCTATCTATACAAGATTTTACAATAGAAATAGGGTAGAAATTCTTGTACCACCTCTCTCTCTCCCTCAGCGGTAGGCCCCAAGGTCATTCCATGAAAACTCACTGAAAGACTTCCCGCAAGACAACTCGCCGTTTTCACGGTTAGTCTTGAACAGCTCCATACTTTAGATAATTGGCTGTCTACTCCACGACTACATTTTCTGATACTGTTCGGGTGTGCATGAAGAATGAATACTGACAAGCCGATGGAGCTTCGGAAATCTCCTTATTTGTTTGATGTTCGGAATGCATTGTCAATGAGCTGCAACCGGTTTCTGAGTACAAGCAGCTTAGGATACTCAAATTTGTTCCATAACTTTGGATGCTGCAGAAATGCTTTTGGTATGTAGAGAAGTTACCTTATCCATAATGGGGTTAACGTGGATAGCTCTGCGTTGTTTATGTGGTAACTACGCGTGTTTATCAATAGCGCAGTCCATCCACTTCAGGGGCCGTATTTGTTGATTTATTTCTCTTCTCGTTGTGAACGAAAATTTCACGGTTTATGGTCTCCATTTTGTACATATATCCTTGTTTTCGACTTGAACGCCAACCACTATTTGGTTTCTCCAACCGACTAAACACTCTTTTACCTTGACACTGCGCGCCCAGTTCATTGCTTGCCACATGGACTTCGTCAGCTTATAACCTCTTTGTCTTTTCATTACCAGCACAATATCCACCACAGAATCAGCGTTAAACAATCTGTTTGTGAAAGCTCGTCTAACCCCATGATTTTTTCTTACCTTTTAATTCTATTATTCCTATACTGTATTCATTGCATTACATTTTCTGATGAACTTTCCTATGAAAGATCCACCTTTTATGGCTTCATACGTAGCTTAACGTGTTTCACGTCACTGCTGCCTCGTAATAGCATCTGTCTTACAACTCTACTTTGTTTTCCCCTAAAATTTCATATTTTTGTAAGCGTGTACTTTGGTGACCACCACGCCCACGATCGTGATGTGGCTGCGATACGGTCAACAAAATCCACATCATTTTTAATTTAACTGTCTGCACGTATTCTTAGACCAATCTATGTTAATTCCAAAGCCAAGTTATACATTAACACAACTGGCCAGATGGGACCTGCAAATGTCGTTGTTATACAATCGTAACGCCGCACGAAATTGTGTTCCGGCTACACAGTGTCTACTTTTGGGATTGAGAAAGCTTGGGTTGATTATTGTCGAGGTGTGGTTCACTCCCCTAAAGAAACAATTCATTCTTGTTCATCTACAAAACAACTCTGAATACAGATCCGCAGGCTCACGAATGGTTGATGCTCCTGTTTATTCGTTAGTACCTCGAAGAAACAGATGCCGAATAAAAGTCCCGTTATCGTGCGTTAGTGAACAATGACTGCTTTCGCCTACGTCTGGTTTAACTTGACTTACGCTTCCTACTCATCTGCTGGTCTATGTTCGAGATGCAAAGTCATACCACGTAGATGAATATACTTGAGGAAATAGTAGTGAATTATTCAATAACTTTGGATGGTGGGGCTAAAGGACAACTATGTAGATGAGATTACGTAAAATAAGCTTGGAAAAAGGTATCATCATTGGAGTTATTCACACAGCTGACTAGCCGCTTTTGGGTTAAGTGTTCAGCTACCAGCCCGAAGTTGCGAGCTATAACCTGACTGGAGAGAACTGATGATGATCGCAAAATAGGATAAAACGGCTGTAGTGTTTCTCAACATTCCAGCACAGATTGGCTTCAATTTCATGACAAAATCTATATTGAAAATAATGGCTTTGTCAAGAATTCAACTGTGTGTGTGATTTGTCTCGTCGTAAGATGAATTTCGGATGCAAAATCAATCTCCATTATCCTGTAACCCAAGGATACATGAGATGCGGTCTGCGTTAAAAAGCAGTTAGTTACGCGTATCGAAATGTTACAGTAGGAATACTAGAAATCTCTTTAATCTACCACCCATAACACCAAAATGCGACCACCGACCATCCGGTGCATGGTGTATGTGGATTTAAGTGATGATTTCGTCTAATTAACACGCCTTTATATGTGATTCTGACTGGCTTTCTTCAAGGGGGTTGTGAAAGTTTGGAAGCAATCAGTTGACTGCTCTAAGCGGTGAAACATCTTTCAGGGATTCATTTCGAGGATCAAATGAAATAATGATTCCGAGCAATGAAAATCGAAGAAACGGAAGGAAACTTAATAGCCTCATTCTAAGCAATAGCTTCTCTGTCACATTTCTGGCCAAGATAATTTGTAGCGTCTTGGTCTCCTTCACGCGTAAACGTGGCAATTATTCTATCGCCACACATCCCACTCCATGCCACATGGTTGTTCTCATAATTTTTCCTCTTACCGAATACTAAACCTTCTCTTATTCTGCTTCGAAATGCTGCACTAAAATGCAAAACTGGGATAAATGTTAGCTTGTGGGACAAATTTAACGCCATCTTACATCTGGAAAACGTTTTCCACTGAGTTACAGTACTTCCAAATTAACGAATGGTTTAAGGAATGCGGTAATCACTATCGACTCAGAAGGTGAACACTGTACGCAGATTTTGTCATGTGTTGAGCGTAGAAGTACTCATTTTTACGTCACGTTGACCGTAATCGAAGCTGTATGCCATCGCACAACTTACAAAGTACTGTAGATACATCTCGGCTTCGAACTCACCTAGAATATATAAAATATTCGCTAATGACACCAAACACAGGATTGTCAAAAATTTTCATAAGCTGATTGCACATCAAATGTTATGTATTTACACATGAAGAAACGGTTCCAACAAATTTTGAGAATACATGGCATAAAATTAGTTAGACTTGTAAGGCATTATCTGAGCGTTCGTCCTCTGGCGTCACTGGGAATTGCTTCAACTAGGCAGCCTTGTAGCTTCGAGTCATCCGAGTGATACAAGCACTTATTCCAATCAACAGCAACAGAACACTAATAGCCAAACTCAAGTAGGCCTGGAGTTCCAGTAGGCCCGGATCGGTTTGCGCCATCGTCTGGTAATTCGGACTACTTGGGGAAAAGGGACATTGCGACCCAGTTCGAGGTGGACATGTCTCCGTCTGTGGATAAATGGAGAGGAGGTTTGGGATGCGAGATTAGGATAGTTGTGGAAATAGATACACAGCATGGAAGTACTAGCAGTAGCATTATTTTACGCCAAAACCATTCACATATCTGCAGCCCACACCAGGATTCTGTAGTGTCTGACTTAAGTAGTCCTTAAGGTTTGTGCCACAGTCGGTTAAAAGTAAGCTGCTTCTCACTGGCCTTTTTATAGCAGAAACAAGTTCACTTGACTCAGAAACCCACAAATCAGAATTGAAAAACACCTGGACTAACAAAAAATGCCTCCCCCCTACCAAATTGATAAGCCTCGAATAATAGGCCGGAACGTAACAGGATAATTAATAGGGCTTTATTTCGGAAAGAGAAGCCTTCACTAAATCATCCTTATTGTTTACTGTTTCATCCTGTCTACTTCTGACTGATATTTTGTAAACACCGATAACGCTCAAATCATTAACGCTCAAACCTCCCGATACGACTGGATAGCAAATGTTTGGTGGTAACTGAAGCTGAAAAAATATTACGGCTCATTCTTGTATGGCAAATTGTGCCAATATTCAAACATTTTTTCTTACCTGGATCAGAACACCCGGTAGAGATTTCATTTCTCTGTCCGACATACGCGTGGGTACACCGGCTAATTCATCAAAATACGGCTCCCACGGTGTTGGATCTCGAAGTGTTGTTGACCGTCTTCTTGTTCGCGTTCGGTTGTGACCACATATTGGCAGGCATTCGGACCAGACGCTCCAATGTTCCGCCTATCATGGATTGTTTACAGAAATTGTGAATTTGACCAGTCGGGCAAGCATAAAAGTCAAGTCCTCCGAGTAGTTCACCCCCACTTCTAACCTTATGTTTTGATCCCTCTCCAACTAGCTTTGCAAATAAAACGATTCGTCGCAATGATGAGTCCTATGCCGACTTGGGTAAACTGCTCACACCTTGAAAATGTTTGTTCGCATGTTCTTTTCTAATATATTAGAAAATGATCCGTATTTTTGTTAGCTTTTTAACTTGGTTTCATTATTATAGCGGTGTTGGTCGCGGGACACCATACATCGAATATACAGACTAAAACTGTCGGAAGTTTCGTGACCATATCCTAGAAAAAAACTTAGTACTGTGTCACCGTTTTCACGGAAATACATGTCTTTAAAGTCGATTTGAAAAGTAAACAAACTTTTGAAAACAATCCTTGATCTGAATTTACAACACGAATAGACTGATTTTGTTGGCAAGCCCCAAGCCAGGATACAAATGAACGAACAATTCTACGGTCCAGTCCATATTGTTTATGAAGAACCCAGAACTAGTCTCCTTCGTCTTTGCAAAATCTTGTAAACGCATGTAACACGACAAAGAATTTCAAGTGAAAAATTATGGCTTGAAAAAAAGCGTGCTAGCGGGTGAGTTTAGCGAAGCCTCTGGCACTAAAATGATGGAATGCAAACGTACTTTACTCAGTGAACCTTTGGAACATCTCTCGATACGCTAGTTTATCTTTTCTTTACTTGTGTCACGGTGATTGTAGTGGGAGACCCAAAAGATTATTTACCTCATTGTCAAGTAAATGTGACTGAATGCCAGGGTAAATGCCCTTCCTATAGGTCCTCTATTGTATGGACCAACGTTTCACCAAATCTGGAGGTACCGCAACATATAGCTGGTAGGTGGCTGTTTCCAGAGTGACCATAGTCCCTACCAGTCACCCATTGTGCACTTGTGGCAATCATTTAGAGTTTGATCCTACTGTAATGTTCACTGTTTCCAGGACATGGCGAATGATTTTTTAATTTGCGAACGATAATGTCTGTTTTCATAGGTTAAAACCAGTTGTGACTTTGGGGTGGCTTCTATCCTTTTTTCACTCAAAAGCGTGCTATGTCTAACACTTCGAAAGCTCCACAAATGTAATATTCGCTTCATCAGTTTGGGTTCATTAGAACTAGAAAGGATAGGAACTCCGCAAGTGCGTGGTAGGTTGGGATATGGTGGTGTTAGCTGAAGACATGCATCATGGTTGTTTGAAAGCCAAACCGCAAATGCCTCGATTTCTGGTCAAAGTTGTAGGCTGGTAAGCCAATAAGCCACATGCGTAACTACGCTTACTAGAGCATGAATTCCATGGCAGTTTGACGCAGCGACAATCCAGTAAACTGTAAAATGAAATAAGCCATGAATGAGTTGTTTTTATGAGCATTCTTGCAATTAGTCAGTACCTTCTTCCGCGATACGTTTTCTCTAACAAATGACCAGCCACTGTCCATAAGCTACGGCTGTTTTGAAGATGGGTCGCTTGGTCCTCACGCCGCACTCTAATCCATCGGGAGATATAGGAGGAATTTTAAAAATTAGGGGAGCTAAAAGTTTACTTGTGGGTTTGCACCCAATTCTATCCCACGGTTGTTGCGTCTGTTCACCCAGGATTCAGTGTGGAATTACTTTACGGTGAATTACGTGTGGTATGTGTGGCTGGCATAATGAGGACGTTATGGTATTCCGGTACAGACTTTGTGCTGTAATCCAATCTCTTCTAAAAGGCCAAGACGCACCATACAGTTGTTCCACCGCAGTGGAAATTATCGGTAGTGCGCACCTCAAGAAACCCCATAAATATTTACTGTATGTTTTTTACTAGTGACAGTGAGGTCAGTGACCGCTGTACATTACTTTACATGTGCGAATGTGTAATGCTGCTGGAAATCCAGAGAATTCAGTCTGACTAATTTGCAGTATGTTAGTACGTCCCGACGAAATGATTAAATCGTCGATTAACACCCTGATTTTCCCTAGCCGGATGCGCCAGATATCGAAATAAAAACGCTACGCGTTATTTGCCTGCCACAAAGAAGGTATTGGTGATTTATCCCGTACAAGTCTGCTAGTCAGGGAAAAACTGTATAAAAGATCAACATATAAGTATTTATCCCCAAAATAGTATTTTATGGCTAGACCAAATACGACCTGTTTTCAGAAGGTGTTTCTTCCAAAACAAAAATTTTTAAAACCTACCCGGTATTCGCACATTTCTCCATCGTAACCTGGATTACAAACGCATATGCTGGTCGCGTTGGGCCCGGACGTGGCGACACAAGTTCCATGCAAACATAATTTATCGTCACAAGGTCCGATACGCTTAAGACAGTTTGGCATGGGGTGAGTTGGGTCTTCCATGAATGGTTCCTTACATTTGCATCGGTACCCTGTTGTACCCAACGAGGGAATACAAAGGGAGCGATAATCTTCGTCATTTGCGAATTCCGATGACGGCTGCGGTACTGATATTCCTGACATGTTCGTGTTACACATTTCCATACCGGTCGCAGTTTTTCTAAGGAGTGTAAACAAAAAATTTCTTCATTAGCTGGATGATGCTATAAGTTGAGTCACCGACTAAATGACAAATCAAAAGAGAAATGATGGACTCGGAAAAATATAGCCTGACGGCTGAACAAGCTTGTCAAAGTCAAAATTCTGGACCCACAAATTAGAAGTTATTTTGTTGAATCTCTTCAGAGCCTGAATCCATTTTATCCACCAGAAAATCCTTTTGTTTTCTTCCATCAAACCAACCAGAATGATTGCTTGAGGAGCAGAAGACGACTTGTCAGTGATGTGAAGAATCCCTCAACAAATCCTGTAAATGTGTAAGCCGAATTAGCCCATATAATAAGCTAAACGACAAATACGTTTTGGTCACAAACCCGATTTGTGGGGATCGGCGAAATCATCTATGGGCATGATCAAACTGTATAGAAACGTTTTTAGTGGCGGCAGTAATGTATATCTTTATAAAATGGCACATCTGTAAGGCGTGGTAGCGGTTTTCATTCAACGAGCCTAATGACTGACTGCGAATCATGGAAGATGTGATCTTTCCTGATCCACCAAGAAGGGCGCAGTCGAATGGAAACTGGTTACCACTGACAAAACGGCTGAAGAGCTTGGTTTGTTAGACATGTTTACCAACCTGTCAGGGAAATGGAGGAACGCGATGCTTCCAGGTTCCTTTGTTATGGGGTACTGAAATATCGAAATTGGTCATCTTGAAGTAATCCAATTGACGTTTACGCACGTCTTTGTATAGGCTGCTTCGATGCAAGAAAAGTATGCATGGTTATACTGTTGTTTGCCCGCTGAAAACCCATTCTAATGAAATGTCTTTATTAGAGCGTCATACAAAAACAACGATATATTTGTAAGCCAAAGTTAGACTAGCGGTGGCGAGATACCACTTGGAATAGGTAACTGGAGATAATTGCCCGAGGTTGAACGTCATATCGCTGTGTTACATGATCGTGTGCCCTCACGTTATGAATTCATTATAATTTGAATTGGTTCCATCCATGTTTCACTTATCACTGGATAAAAATCTTAGTTAATGAATTGTAGTCGTCCTATCTGGCTATCTACCGGGTCGGAGAATATTTCTTCCAATTTACCGCATAGTAATTGACGGTAGACATTACGCAGAGACCTGTTTCTAAGTAGCGCCTGTTGATTCCATTCAATTAGACAACAACTCAAAGATGGTATGATCTTCTTCTTCTCATATGTGATTGGTCAAATGTTGAGGTGTACAGAAGAGGGGATTCCTACTATTTGGGATTCGAAATGAAAGGTGTAAGCAGAGGCACGAATTCAGCCAAGTGGCCTTTAACTCACGGTAGAATTGTCGATTGTATGGGGAAAACTGGGAAATTTCGACGGAAGCTTTGCCACGTAAGTGTTTGAAAGTCGGAAATGGATATACATCTGTTTCATGGGAACCATTAGCGTTGCGTATCTTACAAAAATTTGGGGGGGGGGGTTGAACCCGCGAAATCCCGGCTAAAAACCAACTTTGGTCACAAGAAGCTCATCAGTGTATAAAGCACTGCTCATCGTTCGGAGATAGCGTACTTTAATGTAAGGAAATATTAGGTACCAGAGAGCACTACCTGTTCGCAAATTTATATAGAGTACGGACGATAAAATCTCATATGTAGAAAGGATATCGTGGATTTAGAGAGGTATTAGTTATTTGTTGTTGATAGGCAGTCGGGTAAATAAACCCCATGTGTCAGATGACTGACAATCAAATGACTCAACAGTGTTTGCTTGTGTGGTGAGAAGGGTCGGGTAGGGACGCCGGTGGACAAAGAACTGTGCCAGAAAACGGTATATCCTGGTTGTCCAGGCCAAGGAGGGGTTTGGGTTGGGGTGCTTCACCTTGAGCCTTAGATTTGAAAGTCCGATCTGCGAGGCGGCGGGCAGCGGAGTTTTCTTTGGCGACCGATCCAGGAGCCGATGACTCAATAGTCTGCCCTGCTCGGCTGTAAGGGTTGGCCTAACCTGGGGGCACAATGTGTAGGGCGTTACTGTCGCACCCCTGATGAGGCAGCGCACAGCAAGGGCCTAATAAACAGCACCAAACTCTTTGGTTTTGAAGGTACTGTGACAGTAATGAATAACGCGCCGATGGACATGGTGGTCTGTCTGTCGATCGGACAGTGCGGTTTTTATGGCCGAGCTTCTCTAACTAGTCCTTTCTCGTGGGAACGTAGCGTCTCTACTTCCATGAATATGGACGTGATGGTCTCTCGGGGGAACACCTTATTTTCACTACATTTCTGTCGCAGAGGATAGGACATGACATTGCACCGAAAGCATTTCGTACCCCGGTTGTTCGTAACAGAGGATCTCGCTACTCTGGGTTTAACTGCTCCTCTTTGGCCTTCCAAGCATGGCTGCGTTATATGGAACAAGGTCCCAGCCAGTGTAGGCTGACTACCAAGTCAATGTGGCAGAGTTAGGTCAAAACAGCTTTAGGTCGGGCAAAAGATGATCAAGTGTGTCTCAATACTTGAAGCGTCCCCATTAACAGAGGTTAAGCCAAAACGACATTTTTGTCCTCAAGGCTCTCTCATATTTGTTGTGTAAGGTGATGATTGACTCATAGTGTGACGGATTCCTAAGCAGAAGGTTCAAGAGACTTACAGGTTCCTTTTCTTGCTTAGCAAGGTACCCAGTATTTGTAGTTAGTAAGAGACCTTTGAAGTTTTGTGCAATGTGAATCATATGAGTGAAGGATGCCGGAGCAGTGTCCTCCGTGAATACAAGTTAACCACATTTCCAATTAGTCAGTCGTTGCCATATTTTGTCGTACTCAGTTATTAACTCTAAGATCATGAGTTCGATGCACTTAAGATGCACTTAAGATGCACTATAAGATGCTTACAGCCAGTGACTGTCAACAGCCTCCAAGCATCCGGATAGCACTTTAATACTTTAGAATCAGCAGCATCTGATCGACTTCTAGATTCAGTTCTACTGTTTTCATTTAATAAAACGCATTTGACTCCCTCTACATAACCGTTGGACTGTGGGTGGCGGCTACCAGATTTAGCCTCCAAAAAACGGTTGAGAGAAAAAAAGATTCTAGTGTAGGATAGTAGGACTCCACGCTGTCTCTTATAACAAACGTATTGCTTGGTATTGATCTGAGAGTATTGCCGAGAGTGATTCAAATCGTTCCTGTTCCTGGAGAAGTCTATTATGCAATAATGCATTCACAAGAACATTAAAGGTGAGCTAGTTGGCGATTATCCCTGTCTCACAATCTGTACAATACAACGGTATTAAATTCGGGCACTCAAAAACGATCAAGTTAGAATAACTGACTTTTTGATCGAATTTATAACAGCCGGTCGAGGAAGTTTTCTAAAAGGAAAAATGTCGGTCACAGAATGTACATAGCACACTTCAGTGATTATGTAAAGTAGATCCACCTGTCCCTCTAAACAATTAAGCGGCAGCTGCATTACGGAGACGGAAATAATTCGGTAACCATTTCAAGTGGTTATTCCAGCTCGGGAGACAGCAAAGCATCATAATCACATGAGCTACATAAAAATGGTTTTGACCACCATACATGTAGCCCTGAGTGGCTATCTCACAATGCTCAACGATAATTAGGAAAACAGATTAACCCGAATCCCAGTATCTGTCTACCAATGTGCTAGATTCACTGGAAATTACAATAAAATATGGAGTTGCCCGAAATATAATAGACCCTTCGCCAACAACCGCTAGTTAGTCCATCTTCCTAGATTCCTGAGGCGACGGCATACCGGATTTGGTAACTACTATCTGCTTACTCAAAGAAATCGTCTTCAACCAAAGGCCACATTTTAACAGGACAGGCTTTGTCAGCACTCCTACCACAGATTCAGCAAGATCGTGTGTAACCGTAGAAAGGAGCTTGGAAACAGAATAAAGTTTCAGATATTTTCAGCCGGAAGAAACATTTATCTTTCGATTGGCTTGGAAATAGGTAGTAGGCCGTCATTTACAAACCCAATAATTAAAGAGGGTAATAAGGTTTCTTGTCTAATTATACAGTCAAAATGACGAGGTTGCTCGGAAAATACTTTTCGCATGAATCGTATGAATAAATTGAGGCAACAAAGATACGTTTTTCAAATTATTTTGCTGGATTTTCCTCGAATGACTCCGTGTACCGAATGGTCTCTATAAATGCTCACGTGTTAAGGAAGTGTGTGATAGAAGCAAAGTTGGAAGAACGCACCTTTTGGTCTTTCCCGTTATTGGATCTTTGTAGAGGTACGTGACCAGTTTCATTTTGCAGGCATCCAGTCGGTGTTTACATCGCACCCCGTAATAGCCCTGATTGCACTCGCAGTAAGCAGTTCCAGCATATCTGCGGAAAAAAATAAATTCAACCAACCAGTCTAAAGGCTACCCAAATTGATCTTGTCACAATTTGGAATAATTCTGTAGCTACCAATTGCAAATTGAGGGGTAAGTAATCTATATTGATGAAAATAACTCACCTCTGAATGGCCGCAATGCCCAAAGGAACGGAGCGTATTTTCCGGAAAATTATTTCAACACTCACTAACGAAGCGGCTCTACTTCGTGCTTTCGATTGCCCAATTTACTCACGTTTTATTACACGTTCCGTGGATTTTTTTGGTAAACTATCTTACAAACCAGTTCGAAATAAATTATTAAATAATAATAATAATAATGATAATGATAAATGTTACAGTGATACACCTGGTATTTGCCTGGTATTTTCCCAGGTCGATGGAGATGCTCAGGTGAATGCCTACACAGTAGATTTTTTGTATCAACGAGTTCTTACGTTCTGATAGGTCAATTCTCTTTCGTACATACACTTAAATACAACCTTACTAACAAAGGTATAACGGCTCATCCTAACATGCCACAAAAAGCCGGCATACCAAACGTTCCAGAGAACACATTCTGAAAAAAGTATTTACAAACTCGTCGGTACCAATCTACCATAAAATTTGCTGTGATTCCATCCATCAGCTACTATTATCCCTCCAGTGCACGGTACATTCACTGGACCCGATACGTTAAGTTGGACACATAAAGCCAAACTTATTTGCTAAATCGGTCGGATGTTCTCCTTCTTGCTTCGCTTCTCCAGAATGTTTTTAAAGGCCAGATTGGTGGTTGATCAGACGGAACTGAAAAGCTTACGAAAATCTGGTTTGGAATGAGCTGTCGACTCCTATGGTGGATATGCCTCACAATGCTTCCGTGTGTGCATCTTAAAGAGCGTCTGCTTTCAGCGAAAAGGGCGTTGTGTCCTCCACTGGAGTAGTCAGAAGAAGGCACTGTTAATGTGTGTATCCTAATCTTAAAAAAACGCAGGCTGCATTCGTGTTCACGCGTGTATTTTCTAGCAAATAATGTATTTTTTCCACCATAAGCCCTTAGGATAGAGCATTTCCTTAGAAATGTAGGGGTTGATTCCTCTCCATATGGCAAAAAAAGACAAAAACTCTTCCTGCTAAACAAAATGGATACAACTGTGGTAAACTTTTTACACTGGTTGAACTATTTTAGACGACAAAGTGAATGCTGCCTGCGTTGTCTACCTACAGTGGTTAAAGTAACTTCAAGCTATAGGTATATAACAGACACCACCGCATGACTTATAGCCTCTAAAGATGCCATCGGTAACCAAGTCAAAAAGCTGGATCAATTAAGTGTACATAAATTACAACCTGTAATCAAACTGCGATTACAAGTCTGGATTCTTTAAGGGCGGTTTGTCCCAAACATTCGATGCATAAATTATGACGAAGTAGAAAGTGCTACAAGTACCAAAAATGCTAGGAAACTGTAATTCAAACAACTTTATCTGTGCTTCAGTTTTTCGTGGTTAAATTATTCTTCTCAAAGAAGTATACCCTTTGCTGTAGAGCTGCTCCAAGCCAGTCATTTTGAGCAGCTCCCATGACCCAAGAGATACAAATTGCAAACAGTATGGTACGCCATTCTTTTCGAACCAATATTGGATCAACGCAGGAACATGGGAACATAACACTAAACTGAAAATTAGTCTGAGAGCTTGTGTACGCTGAGAATGAGACATTTCCTTGTGCCTCGCTGCGTTATCTCTTATTTCGTCTTTGAGACCTGGTCAACCCACGCTCTGAAAAACTAGGGACATGGATTCAAATTATCAGGTCTTTGTGAAAAGCCCAGAAATCCTAACCTAACCTTTTGCTATTGATCAGGCAATGATGGATCACAAAGCCAAACGAATGAGTCGAAACTTGGTTGTGCAGTCATATCAAAAGCAGGTGACGTGCCTTTAACATGGTCCGTAAATTTTCAGCGTGCAAAAGCACAAAATTGCTGAGTTCGTTCCCTGATTCAAGTTCTTTCTTCAACAGCGGACATGACCTCTGCTACAGTAAATGTCCTCTTGTATGCCGACAAGAAAGCCTATGATAACATGAATCCGAGGAAATCTCCTACTCGTGAGCATACAACAGAGGAGATTTATACCGACCACTTGGTCCTATAAAAAATAATAATCGGTACCAAGACGTCCGGCGGTCACCAATCATTGGCTGCGGCGCGTTCGAAGAAGCAGAAACTAAGCTTACTGCAAATGACACATTCTTCATCAAACTCTCTGGAATGATTTCGTTGAGGAAAGTGACTTCAAGGGTTCTTCATCAATTTACACCGGAACAGGATTCAGAAGAAAACCGTGTACATGTTTGAAATTCTTGGGCCAGTTCATCAGGAATGTATTTTATTCTATCAAAAACTTTAACTATATGCAAGTGACGTGCAATTTTTGCTAACAATACATGAATCGTGATTTTCAACCCTCCCACAAGCGAAACCTGAATACTGATACCCAGTATGCTGACTATTACAGCAAAAAAAAGACAAAATGAAACACATATTGGAAAAAGCAATAGCGAAGTGGACATCTGAACTGATGTTTGACAGAATATAATAAGATAGTACATGGGAAACTTTCAAACATCTTTCCAACGTACAGGACGTGACACTTTTGTCGAAATATTGCCGCTAATTCCTTAAACAAAGAATGACAAGTAAGCAGTGGCACTGTGTCAAAAGGGACATAATTTTTCAGAATTGTATTGATTTATTATCGAAAAAATTAGGAGTCTGCAGTCTACTTGATATGTCGTAGGGGATCTACGAGAGCTGAAGTGACCAGTTTTATCGAAAGGGCAACCCGAACTCAGCCACATGTAACCAAAACAAGAAGAAAACTGTTTAGTCAGATGATGAGAGGTCAAGGATAAATTTCTAGAAACAAAATAGGATGTCCGTGAATTCCCTTCTAAAATAGACAAAATAAATTCCGGAAGTTCGAACCCTATACCTCAATGGGAGACTCAACTTAACCGCAGATGAGTTCCTCGTTCAAAATATGTTTTAATCGAGATACATGGATGACGGAAACTTCAGAACTGGACCTACATGGTATGCTTCAAGAAAGACAAAACGCCTTCAGCAACCTAATAAGGAGTATGTTCCGTCAGTAAAGGGATGTGTGAACATCGATCAGACTCATTCTGAAGTACTATCTGGAGCAATGACAGAATACTCACTGATCTGTTGTGCACTGATGCGTTCCATTTTGGTCGCAAGGACCCATTCTGGTTCCGTTGCCCAGATTGCACCGATCAATCCATTCTGTTGTGCGCTCACACCGCATCGAGGTGTCCACCCAATGATAACGCTCCTCACAATCACAAACGTAGCCACTCTCATCGGTTAGCCACTTCAAGAAATTTTCACCGGGTAGACGATACCATGTCGTTGGATTGACCAACTCCGAAAACAGTTGATAAATATACACGCTCCAGGTTCGCCTCTAGAATGAATAAGGAAAACAGTGCCCAATGAAAATTCCTTTACACCAACAATTAAATTTGAGTATACTTTTGGGTCCAAACCGAATGCGAAAGTTTACTAACCGTCAGGCAAGTTGCAGTACGGGTGTTTGATTGCAGTTCGCATGGATTACCATCTTCCGAAGGTAGCTGACCCTCCATAGTCACTCCAGATCTGAGACGACCCAGACAAGGTGCAGGGCACAGAAAAGGCATCGTGTGGTGAAAATTCTGGCATAGACCAAGATTGAACAGAATGAGGAGCATATCCTGACCAAGTGGAAGCAGTGGTATGTCACGCTCAGGATCCCAATCCAAAAGGGATATGTAACTGTTATTCCTGTAAGGAAGTGAAAGTTAGAAAATATTGCTAGGACTCAGCTTGTTTCACCAACTCATCTATGTATCCATCAAGCTAATAAAGTTTTACTGCCTGGAAAACACCAAAAGTGGCTGGTTGGCAGTTGAGGATAATCGAGCAGCGTGTGGAAAGTTTTTGAAAGTCACAATGGACCCCAGCAAAGTGCCTACATTTGCGGACTCCTGCCCTCTGTTCTCAAATCGGTTGCACAGGTAATGAAAAAATCAGTAACTGTCCCACCAGTTGTTTTCCCATAATGGACCACTACCCATCCTGAGGAGTGTGGTGATACAAACACGCTAATTATTTTTAACTACTCACCAGTAACTGAATTTGGCTGCGACACACGGCTTGTTGAATGAGGTCTCTAGACATTGCAGCAAAAGAAGTTGTTGGATTAATCGTGCTCACCAACGTTCTAAAATGGCATCTGTAGTTGCCCCGTATAGCGGAACATTCCGTATGTCCGGGTTATTTCTGAGAGTTTTATCGTGCAAACATGAGTTACCAATGGCCATTGGTTTGTTCGCTGAGTTGGGCAATTCGGATGCGGTTGTGACCCTGACCCATCGTCCTGAACAACATACTTACAGTGTCACCTCGATTGGTGATGAAACAGTTGGGATCAATTTTCTCAGCTCATCGGGAAAAACAAGGACCATCTACGCTATTTCGACGACCAATATTCCCTCAGTAAATTATCAATCACAAGACTGTGCTATTTACTCGGATGAGAGGTAAGCGCATAACTGAAAACAGTACCGTTTCAACCTGAGCAGGAAAATTTAGATCTCAAACACCTGGTATTAGCTGCAAAAAAGCACAGCAACAAAAGTGCTATGAGCTGTAAAGTCGATTAGCTTACAGATTACCAATGTCGCCTTTCATCCCCGAAACCTGGATGAATGTGCCAATGAGCACCCGTTAAGGTTGGTCAGTCGGATCCCGGTCTGCTAGCTGACCTGTCATCCAGTATGACGATACCAGGTGCATTGAGCTGAGCAGTTTTTGAACTCTGTACTTGATCCACGAAAGTACTTCGTTCTTCGAAAAAAGACTATCTATCTTGTTTGAATTACCGGAGAAGGACCAGAGTTGCTTCCTTCCGTTAGTTTTTCCAAATGGGAGTGTTATTGCTATTAAGACGGCCAGTCTGCCTTAGTGGGCGTATAAGGCTGTTCTAAGCATCCAGTAGAGGCTAACAATTTAAACTGTATTGATTTCTTACAAAGAACTTCCGCATATAATATACAAAACGAAGGACATTTCGATGTCATGATATTCAGTGCTTTACCCATAGATAAATCTGGCCAGCTAGATTCCGCTTCGGTACTCAATTTTCCCTGGAGTGTTTATCACGAACATTCTAGTAAATTTTACAAGGCAGTTTTGCCTGGTGAATCAACCACGCAAACTTTGCAGGTAGTCTGACATTGTTTAGCTAGAGACATGTGGACAAAATGAGTAATTTAACTATCAATCACGTAAACTTCACCGCTAGAACAAAATCGAAGATCGATAAAGACTGTCAAATAAAGATTTTGGAAGTGCTCAGGTAGAACATAAACGTGACAGGATGTCAAAATGACGCCGGTTCGGTGGGTCGCTAACTGAAAAAAACAATAATGTGCAGCCTAAGTGCGTTCAGCAGCCTTATGATTGGTTTGTCCTTCAAGGATATATTTTATAATAATTTATACTGTCCGCGATTGTGTCTCGGTTCTTGTATTCTGGAATAAGAAATGCGAAGACGTCCTGCTCACAATCAAACACTTTTCTCACGGAATCCAGAGGCTTTGTTTAACGTACCGGAAGTTACAGGGTGGAACTGCTCCACTGCTGCTGATACGGGTTTCTAGGTATCCAACCAAAACATTCATGCATTGTCATGCCGCTGTACGATAAACCACTCACAGTGAACCCAGAGAAATCCATCATTCACTTTTAAACTGGAATTTGAATGACTGGTATACATGTTAGATGTAAAATTTTCTAAAAAAAACTCCTTCTTAGATTAAGTCTGTACAGACCACTAATTAGAGTTTACTGTAAATGCAACATCTCGGAAGAACCTTTGAATTTGTTTCAGATCCAATGCTGGGTGGCTGTATTGCATATCTGACTCAACGACTGTATAACTTTACAAAGAAAACAAGTCCCATCTGAACAAACAAGACATTTTTTCACAAAGCCAGTTAACTCTCACCTGCATCATACCCCCTACTGTCACGTTAGCTCAGAAATGATGAAATTAAGGATGCATAAACAGATTTGCAAAGCAAAGTGGATCGACGTATTTTTTAGAGGGTCACGGAGCATACTCCCAATCAGATGCGACAAGCCTTGCACCACGAGTCAACACCAATAATGGATGTCGCTGATCACCAAACATTTCTCTGTGACATCTCATCTACCTCATGCTTTGATCATATTTTTGCGCATGGGAACACAAAACTGCTGGCCCCATAGACGCCGAATCAAGCGGATTCCAGCTGGACTCATTCGGAAAGCCGATGGATCAGTTCAGCTTCCTTAAACGCTACTCACCGTTCCATAATGTGTGAACACTTAGCTGCATGCCATTCTTTATCCGCATGCATGCTTCTTTTTGCAACCACGTGTCCTGATATAACACAAATCAGTATCTTCTCTATTTGTTGCTTTGTACAGTCCAGTCCATCGATTGGCTTCTTGCTAATCTCTGCTGACGCACATTCTATGTGCTTGGCTGCTATGAAGCGAGGATTCACAATGCTGCATTTGTAACATGCAGAATGGTTCAGTGCCTAAAGTAAGCAATGAAGAGTAAATATAGGGCGACTTACAGATCATAATGAGTGTGTCACGCCATATACGTATTCAAGGCACCGCCGATCCACCTACCCTGTTTGGAATTCGTTAAATCATCCTGTGTAGTCTATTATACCACTGAGTTTATTACCACGCCTACAAAGTTCTGACGTGGTAGGTGATGATCTGAAACACAGTAGAGAATCAACGCCAGCTTTTGTATAGTTCGCCATCCGGAAAGAATCATATTCAGCTTACCCCCTCAACTTCTTTTTACCAGGGCTTGGAGGAACCAACTACTAGCTCCATGAATAATGCCCCAACTCATTTCCACATTAAATTAAGTCATCCCGAAGCATCAAAAGGTTGCTCTCATTGAGGATCCGATTATTGAAAAAACTTTTAAAGAAATACTATCCAAGACCCAAATCCCTAATCAAGGCCTTTCTTTGTTAAGGAGGACGATTGTATATTGCGAATGGCTAGGCGGGATGCGACATGCCTCCTCGTACCAATAGGACTTCCATATTTTGCGAGTTCTCTCATAAATTATAAGTAGTCTTGAATCCACATCATCAGGGATTAAGTTAAAATAAACGTCGATCTAAGTAGATAAATTCCACCCCATCCATCGCCTTCACACGTGTGTTCTCAGCGACAGCATACCGCACACATGTGAGCATTTAGTTTATCGGGTGTGTATTCCATATTACTATAATCTCCATAGCGTTGTCTTCTCAGATAGTCGGCCCAAATTCTTGACATGCCGTCCACTTTGAAGATCAGCTTAGGATTTGAGAAAATCTTCCAACAGTGATCTGTTTGATCGGAATATACGTTTGACAAGGACCTCGAGATGTCCTTCAACGTTTCGTAGAACAAATTCTGAAGGAACGTTCGTTAAATAAGATGAATATCCTTATAAACGATTGGACATATCGCTTACACGATTAATGAGGTATTTTCTGTCCGGTAAGGACCTTTCTAGATTTGGTGGTCCTTTCGCGGTGTGTTAGGAAGAATTTTCTAAAGTAACACGTAATCGTTGATTTCAACCGATGCAACAAAAACTTGCCTACGGAACGTCAGCATGCAGTTGCCTGTTAGGTCATCAGAGCCAAAATACAGGGTAGAAAATCTGTTGGAACGATTTTCCTTATTCGTGCCCATAGAATACTGAGTAACACATCCCAACATTCCGTCTATAGCCAAGGACATTCTAATAAATTGACCAAACTCTAACGATTTTACTCATCATACAGGCGACAAAAGAACGCATCCAAATACCGACCAGAGCGAATTTTAACCGGCTGGAAACACCAAACCAACACTTTTGAAAGAAGACTGAATTAGAATGTTCCTATACTTGAGATGAGACTTCGTCGGACACCATAAATAAAACTGATCACACCGTATGCCCCTTCGTATATCAAACTACTCGATTTGGTAGCACAAAACACACCTAAAAGTATACAATAATCTTTTACTAAAGCAGTTTATGAGATATTCTTACTTAGTTGCGCTGTGAAAATTCAAATGGGGACCAGGCATTCACATGAGACCCACCAATATTTCACCACATTACCAACATAGGACCGAATTGCGCGTCCCCATACAACGTTGATAGATTTCAGTATATTTTTCAGCGTCCGCTCCTTGATAATACTGACAGCACATACATACATGTAGCTCACATATAAAACAAGCACTCAATCTTCCTTCAATCTCTTCCCTTTTATTCTGACTTGGATGATCTAATATTTTTCAATATGCCCACCGTTTTCATTATCACAGTGCATTTTCCTGGTGGAGATATGGTCGGATCTAGAAAAGTTCAACCAGACAGATCTTTTCGTCCCCACTTCGTCATTCAGGTTAACTTCCACATTCCAGCTGTGCAAGTAAACGATAGGGGAGAAAAGACGATTAGGCTGAAAAAAGTTGTACTGTTCTCTAACTGGAAGTGAACTTGCTTCATAAATCGCAATTCATCCTGGTTAAGTCCAGTTGTTGGCTTGTCTATCGGTAAAACTGAACCCCCATAAAATTACAGTTACGACAAATGCACTCATTTGTGTATCAGTCTGGCTTTCACGGGAAAATCAACTGCATTTCTTGCTTAGGATATTATCTCGAAACGAGCAATGTGGCTTTGCCATAGGTATCTCAGAGACACGCACAGATATCCGTAGCCTAGCGATTTGTTGAAAGTTCACGTAACCTGCCCGCTATATTGGGGTGACTGACCTTAGGCATCTCTGTAACGCACCCCACAAAAGTATTTTTCCATCACGTGACGTTGTTATATCTGGTGATTTTGTTTTCTCTCTCTTATGAAAACCGAATAGTCATATTTTTCTTGCCGGTATGGATACCGTTGGCCAATTCGTGCCCATTTTCAGCCAAGGTTTCTGTTGTTTACTGGCTCCTCTCATGGACAAATTACAAATTCCCAACAAGAGCACTTCCGTCAATTTCTGAGAGATCAAGACGGCCATGGATTACTGTTAGTGACCCTCGGTGCGTGCTACAGGCTAGCCAAATGATGGAAGGATTTGATCAGGCACCGTATTGATTTCACACAAAAATGCACAGTTACTTGGACCACCCAGCGAACTCGAATACGCTTAACCATATGATGCGATGTCACATGCAAGTTGTAGCTGTCTTGTTTGCTGTAATGACAACAGTACCAGAGAACGCCCAATTGAAGAAGCTCCTGCCTGGCAATGAGAAGTGAGCAAACGCCGTGCAACAAGCTTGCACTTAGGCTTCGAAATTTTCCGACTGATATTTCGTCTTGTCAGAGGAACCGGTTTATGCTGAAAAGACGAAAGGCAGAGTACAGCTGTTTCATCATTATTGAGAATAACCAGTAGCATGTATCTCACTGAACTCAGAGAGTTTCGAACCTCTGTGAGACTGATATCGCCATAATTATCGCACAGCCACATTACTGATCAGCCACTTGTGGCAACACGGCTAAGTGTCCAACATTGGCCGAAAGGCCACAGGGTCGTAACTCAGAGATTTGTGGACCCCCACACCAAGAAGACGATTTCTTAATTGAATATTAAAAAATCTCCCCATATTAGCTCCCAAAATCCTGCCTGTATTCTGTTGGAAGATAGCAGAAACTCCAGCACTATATTAACAAAGAACGGCACAGCTTTAGCAACAAGTCTTTGGTGATTGATGACTCAGAGTTGAACGTTGGTGGAGATTTAGCAGTTCATAGCGAATAAAATAACCTAGGGATACGTTAGGATGATGACTGTCAAACTTGTCGAGTATACCGGGACTGATTTGTTTGGGGCCTGTGTGATTGTTGTAACTCTCGATGATTACAAAAAGAAGAACGACGCCATAACAACCACATTGGATTGAACTGACAATCTTGCAGCGAGGAAAGAATTAATTCAATGGCTATACGCCGTCTGTGTGTGCTCCCAGTGCGTTAATCTATATCATAAAGAGCGCCTACTCGAGTGGTTAATCTCTTCGAGATTTAAAAAATCGTCATCCCCTGTATTTATTGTTTTCCTGAACGAAATTAGCCAGAGTAGAATACTCCACAAATTTCGTTAATCTGTTTTAGGGACATTCTAAAGTTAGATCTCGACACCGTCGTCTACTGTGAGGTAAACGCTAATAGCCTGTAAATACGCGGTGCGGACTATGGAAATTGGCGAGCTTTGTTCAGGTTTGTTGTTGTATTCGGAAAATACAGAGTAAACAGTGGAAAAACTCTCCTTAATATTGCCACCGTATTCTGTTGAGAAACAGGTCCCAGTCAGCAGCGTCCATTGCATTATCAAACGATTTGGTGACTTGATGATCAAAGATGCAGCCGGTCGTAATTACACAACAGCAATTCCGCCACGGTTCTTATTCTCTGTTGACTCCAGTACACTAACCAACATGAGAATTACATAGTGACATTAAACAGACAAAATCAGACAAAATTAGTGGCCTAGAATACCTGTTTGAGACAAGTAGCACAAACACACAGATAGCATGTTGTTTACATTCAGTAAATTGCACCAGTAACCGGTATGGTTCCTACAAATGAGCTGTAAAATGGCTTGAAATCTAACGTGCATAGACGTAAGAGTAAAGGGAAACCATTATGTAACTTGTGGATTGTACATTAACTAGAATAGCTTGTTCACAAAGGAAAACTACACTGTACCATAGGCATTGGTTAAAGATTGTTCGAATCCCGGTTCCAAAAGACCCCATCTTTCCTGTGACGACAAATACGAAACTTTTAAATCCCATTTGCAAAGTTTAATCCCCGGTTACTCATTTAATGCGGCCATCTTGAGATATTTCTCGGTATAAAATTAGTATTCACTACAACAATCTCTCATGTAATCATAAAAAATATCGCTTGCCGAGTTAGTTCCAAAGAAACTGACGTGGAAAACAACAGTATTAGCTTAGAAGGACTTCATGGTTTTGTTCTCTGGGGTTTGATAGAGTTTACAAACATCCCCTCGTAGTCGAAATATCCATACGGGCCAGTCACACTGAAGCTAACATTCACGTTTAGCTGCGCTCACTAGCGTACAGTTCCACCCCTCTCCTTCCATGATTAGGAATTTTCTATGCCAAGTTGTTGAACACATGGCTTCATTTTAGTACCTCTTGTTATTCACATAATGAAAGCAGTAATTTCCATGTTGGAAGCCCGCGTCGTGCAGCCGAATGCCAGATTTCGTCTGACCAAATCAGTTGGTTTCTAATTTCATGTCTTCTTACGCACACCAACAGAAATTGGTAAGCTTCTATGCAACCCTTCATCTGGTAAACTGTCATTTTTCGTGACCGATTTAATCTCGCACTCCGAAGTGAAAGTATATAAAGCATCTTCTGTCCACTAGCTCATCCGTTGAAAAGATCCATAGAACTGCTTTATGAGATACCGTCTGATGACCATTTGTAGTCAACTATTCTTGACCACAAGGCCCTTGACTGCATGCGCACCGACCTAAATTGACGAGGTTTCAGGTTGAACAAGGAGTCTGAAATCATAAGACGCAAGACCAAGGACACATTGCGCACCATAACTCATCCGTATCGTTTTCAAGCACTCAAAAGAACATGCTTGCCTCTTGCATTGCGTGATTTCAAGAGGGGATAAAATATCAGCAGAAGACACGCTGACTCAACTATAATCTCGATTTGTATTTGTCCAGGTTTTGTACTAAACGACTTTGGTTAACTGTTGAAAGGTTAATCGAAACCAGATTCACAAATACGCTGTATGTCTCGAAGTCTTTTTTCATGGACTGAACAGTTTTAATTCATATCACTTGCCATTTCTAAGTAAATGAAAGGTGTTTTTTACACTTCCGATCAATATGTCACGTGCGCATAATTTGTTCTCTAATCGATCACTGTCAAACCGTAACAAGTTTGCATCGTGCATTGATGTGAAGGGCTATCACATTGAGGTGTCTTTCATTCGGGAATTACCATGAATTACTGTCTACAATTCCAGTGCACATTCTTCGGCCTAATATAGGACCACATCTGTCTGATAATCATGCTGAACTGTTTTATTTTCTGTGGCGTCTCAAAACGTATTGGCCCGTAGTCTTATTGGTCAGTCAGACAAGTTTCATAATCAATATAACCGGTCAAAACATACCCGCGAATCATAAACCCGTCCGTGCACGGTCCGTAATGTTTCCTGAAGTTGTACGTAGTCAGACAGAGATAGAAATAGCGCCACCAAATCAACACGTCAGTAAACTTGTTCCTCCTGAAGGCCGAGCGTGAGTTAAACATCCGTATGAATGTGCCACCTTCGACATAGTGTATGATGTTCGCTATCGCTCTGCTCACACCGTATACGTTTGCACGGTTCATCGTCAGCAGCTTCACAAAACCATGAAAGCGACCGCGTAGCAAATCTACCGGCTGTTCGATTTCTTCTATTGTTTTAAACGGCAGTAAAGTATTTCTGAAAGAATGAAAACTCCATGGTCACCATTAACCTCAACCCCGCTAGGAGTTAGAGAACAGTGGAAACAAAAAAACTAAATATAGGAGACATAGTCACTCTAAATGGGAAGAAGCAGACGTATTTATGTAAATCGATACGCACATATGGAAGCAAGACGCAGGAAAACCTTTTAGGGATGAACTCAACAACAGTAGCGGAATCCCACTTGTTCACAGTAAGAGAAAAGAGTTTTGGGGACGTAATTTTTTCCCTTAACCGCCAGTTTAACACTGTAAATCGGTAAATCGGTAGAGATACCAAGCTCTTGAACTCTCATTATTTCGCTGCGATCCTCGCCTTACAAAACTTGTGTGCGTAACCTATACGGAAACAGAATCATTTATGAGCTAGCTTTTACGATTTCCCAAAACAAGAGTTCTGATGAAGCCAGAGGTAGAGAGGATGAACGCTTCGTAGTGGTATTAGACCCTTAAGTAACCTTTTTCTTAGACACTGTCATCAAAATATTTTGAGGCACTTGAGGAACTAGAACTTCATCAAGAGAAGGTAGAAAAGATAGTTTGGGAGTATGTGGCCCATGTAAGTCATCTGTGCTACCTAAAACACGCAGCAAAAGCTGTGGATATCCTGAGTTTCTATTTCTTAAGTGATTCAACTAGAATGTAGAGAAACAGACACTGTGCGGCTCACCTTCGACTTTGTTCTAATTAGTCTAGCCATAGTAATTAGCACAGTTACGTAATGACCAATCAGTTTTCCACAGGGAGTCGCTTTTGATTCATAAACTCTAGGATAAGTTGAGTTTTTAGAGACTATTGATGCAGTTCAAGCCTGATGGGAGCACACGAGATGAAGCATACGGACGTCTTTGTGCACTTAGACAAAAGATTTTGGATCACCTACAAAATTTCCCAAATATCTGCCAAAGATGTCCGCTTCTAAGTAATTTTGTTAAATAGTGTGCTGTACCATTGAATTCTGCTTAACCACGATTGGTCAATTTGATATTTAGAGAGACACTTGTGGATTTTCAGAAACTTTTGGGGAGCGGGCACTATCTCATCTGATGTTGATTGAGAATTCCAACAGAAAAGCTACCGCTACGATTCACAAATTAGTCGATCGCTGCTGCAGTTGATGTAATTCTAAAGGATGATCAAACTACTTGAAAGGTATGATGACAACCCTTTTTTCAGTGCTGAGGAATAGTATGGATTTTTTGTGTATATAGGATAGACTCCGAAGCGAACTGTGTGAGCAGAGGCAACACTCCTCTGTGAAGTCCAAGGATATCTCCCCACTGTAGACGCCACTTTATCATTTTAGCGATAGAACGGTCTGCTGCAATAAAAAGTGCCAAGTGGGAAGACCGGGAAGTGATACGTGCCGCTTGAGGCTTATCACTACCCTCAACTTTCAGTCGGGTTGACGATTGACTGCCCAACTGTCTGACTGGTTGAATGACTGACTAAATAACAAACTAACTAATTAATCAACTAGCTAACTGACCAACCATTCCGTCAGACAATTAAACAACTAACCAGCCAATCCACTAACCAACTACCTAACCAATTAACTAAATAAATGAACAAATGAGTAACTGACTGACCAACTGCCCGGCTGACTGCGCAGCCGACTTACTGACAACGATAAAATGGAACCTTTTGAAGACCTGTCACGCCTTGCTGCCAAGTCATGTGCTGTCCACCACGCGGTTTGCGCCATCCTGAAGGAGGCACGGAGAATAACACTCGTCTCGGTAGACGGTGTTTCGGCATGCGTAGCACATGACCGAGCCATTGCAGTCGATTATTTGTTGAGGAAGGAGACTATTTAGAACTGGCCAAATCAAAAGCTTCCTGCTATCAACCGTTACAACTTCCTCTAAAGATTTGCATATGTCCGTTGTACATGTGCCAGTGCATCAAGGTATGAGAATCGGTTAGAAAGGTGAGTCAAATTAGCACCAAAACTTGTCTTTTTACGCAAACTGCATGCACGCTGTCAGCAAAAAGACTACTTGTATCATTTCCCGCTTATAGTAATCCGCTTGTCTGGTCAGTACTAAAGTTGCTGAAGTTGGATCACTTCTGAATTACATACTGTCCGTTACGGACACACCATACATACGCGCTACCGCCACCCCAGCCCCTCAATCACTGCGATCAAAATGAAACTGACGCAAGAAAATGAACTACTCACTTTGGTTCGAGGTACCTTGTGCTGACTTCACTGAATGGAATCCGTTTCTTTTGATGATCCAGTGGAAAATAATCATACGTGTAGGCTTGGTCGCACTCACAAATGGAGAATAGCACAAAACACAAGATGAGAGTAGCCAACCGATGCACCATCCCAAAAAAGAATAAATTCAACGTGTTCGCATCAAAATGCTTGGATGTTTTGATACTGACCGCGCAATTTTCTGTTTCAAATATGATCATCGATTCGATAGATCAGGTGACAGGGCAAATGATGTAAAGACTACTCGCTAGTCATGCCCAAACTTCCCTTCTATAACAGTAGCTTATCAATAGGACACTACGGAATGTTTATCGCTGGAAACCCGCGAGCAAATTTAGCAATAGATGCCGAGTATAGTAATAACGCATGCGAAGCACGCAAAGTATGAAAGTGACTGATAGATGCAACCCTCCCATGGACTGTCCCAATGAATGAATAGATTAATGAGTAGAATAATGAAGAAATGAAGAAATGGAAGAATGAAGGAATGTGTACTCTTGCCTTGTACAGTGCCTGTAAACCCATGTTGTGACACTCTGTTTACGGAGTAACTGGCCTGTCTGCCAATACTACTGCAGCGATAAATGAGTATGTATGCATTAATCGCCTTCAATACACCCCGTCCAATAACTCGCAATAATTTCTGAATCAGACATCGAAAACAGAAACGAAGTAAAACAAGTAGAACATAAGGTTGACAGAAACTCGGGGACTGTGCCTACCTGATTAGCTCCAAAGAGGACGAAACCGGTCATGGGCTTTCGAAGGAACGAAGATACTTTTTATGGGACTGAACGGTCAGACACGGGCGAGACACGATGGGTTGTGGCCGAACGACATGGGTACAAGCGACCAAAACATAATACAAAGGCTAACACTTTCTCAGACACAAGTCCTAGTAACTTTATGACAAACTAGAAGAGCACTGCTGCTTCCAGTGGACTTCCAGCGAACAATATAGTACACACACGCATGAGCTGACAGCTACAATTAGAGCAGACAGAAAACAACAGCCTGACTCGGTGGCGGAGGCAAGCAAAAATTGACAAAAACCAGAATGAGTGTACACAGTAATTCTTTAGAGGAAAATCAACATATATTTGAGTGCTCCCAACCATTCACAACTCGGCACAAATTAGCTTTATCCGGTCTAGTGTATGAGGTACAAACGCAGTGTTGAAACTCTCAGTTACAGTTCTCTTCCAGTGAGGTCAAGTTTTGTTATTCTTGAAGACAGAAAACTAACTATTAGGCAAATCTGGATATATAAGCTGCGTTCCAATCCAGCAAGTTAGGTCATTCTAGGCGCAAAATGGAAGTAATTCGAATGCCTTGGATTTTGCTGGAACCTCCAGGTTGTTGAATTCCCCGATCTTCCGGTAGCTGAGCTCTTCCATTTAGCCGTCAAAGTTTTTTGGTCGAATGACATACTCACTTCGCGCACCTATCAAAACAAATTGTCGTATTTCAAGGCACTGAATGCGCTCCCACATGAAAGCATCCTGAAACTCACAAGGTGCCTCATTTTACAAAGTCAGTTTGTCCAGATGTTCCTCCTTCAGCCAATCAGGCGATCAGTCGATGAGTAGAACTTAGGGGAACTCTTGTTACTGAAGCTGCTCACAAAAGACTACTTGATATGTGAATGTTGTTTCTTCGCGGAAACTGTGGCCGCTAATCAAAGTGCATAGCTTTCTATCCAAACTATATGAGTGAAAGTCTGAAGCCGTATTTACTTTGGCTGCATCTGATAAGTGTGTTCAAGGAACCTCACCTCTCTCACTTCATTCTCGTTTCTGTTTTGTGGTTTGATCGAAACAAACTGATACTGGAGATTTTAAACCTGTGTTGTTTTTGATGGCTAGAGCGATAAACGACTGCAATACGTTTCAACTATCTAAAGAAATCCACGCGACAGAAAGCTTGTCAAGGAGCTTAATTTTCTCTAAAATAACTGGACGTCGAAACTTTGAGGAGTGGGACCATCGTGTTACAAATTAAACCTCAATACAACCACAGCTATTTGTTAAGTGAAACATAACACACCAGCAAATTACAGCATTCTCTTGCAGAGCTGTATTCAATTGCATCACTAATGGCAACACCAGTGATGATGCAAATTTCGGCACCCTCTATTTATGGAAGCCAAATGGTTCATGTGGCTGATATTCACTACGTTTGGACACCAGTGTTTAGCAGCAAAACTAATGAAAGGAGAGTTAAACTGGTCTGTGAAAGGCAACAATGAAATTCAAAATATACCACACGGTTTCCAGTAAGTTGTTTCCCCAGTGCATAAGAACTAGGGTCCATCACACCGACGATTAAACTTCATTGCATAGTAATAAAGTTTACCAACAAAACTCGGGTGCGCAAGCCCTTACTTTTCCTGCGTTGCATGAATTCCGCCATGTTCTCGGTGCTTTTGAAGGTATTGAGAATCACCCTTAACTAAAATTCAATCTCATGAAAGATTAACCAGCAAAAAAAGGACAAAATGGGGTTTTATGAAGGCTTTTCTTAGGAGTTACTTGGAATCCGATCTACCGCAGATCACCCATACAGTAAACACTGTCAAGTGCTCCTGCGAGTATTACGATTTCACCAACAACCTAAAGTGAAGAACGAAGCCTCCATCCGTTTAAAAATGCAGATTTGCCTGTTTAACAGATGCCGAGCAGCGGACCGCATTGAGTGCGTTGTCAGGCTTTTGTGTATGAGAATTCAAGAGCATTTAGGTTCTGAGGAGGAATCACTAATGAATTCCAAAACTATGCATCAAACCGGCACAGGTCACCTATTTCAGGCGTTTTTCGTTCAGACTGGCCATAAGAATACTGATAAACATTGCGCAGTCCCGAAGGAGCATTAATTTCGTTGTGTAGTTAAAACAGATGCAATGTCTACTGTGCTGGATTAAAATGAGTGACTCAATATCCTATTTGACTTTAGGTTCACACAACACTTGTAAGCAATATTACCCAACAGATAAACAAGAACCGCTTATGGGTAAATAAGATAAAGCGTGTTTACCCATAAACATTTTTATAAAAATGGTCACCTATATGTTACGCACAGGTAGTTGAGCTTTTATTATCAACATAAGACTAAAAAGGTCACGGACTGTTCGACTGATGAACGACCACAAAAAAGCATTCTTCCACAAAGAACCTTCACAGATATTTCTAGAAACGAGGGGCTTAAGTATACACGACGTTGGAAAAAAGGCGCTAAGATGGATTCCAGCTCACGGTTTTCCACTTACAAGACCAAGTTTCTGCCAAGGGTGCTAATCAGGCGATCTGGTGTCCGTCACGCCACGGAATTCAAAATTTTCGCATGCCTTGCCTCGTCCACACCCAATGAACAAACACCTAACTACGCCATTAATAAGTCCCTTTTGTGAGTTCTATAGTGAATCCGATAATGGTGTTTTTAAGAAACTTAAGAGCGGGTGAGTTGAATCGCAAGAATTTAGTCGAGAGTCTAAAGGAAATTCATGTAAGATTTTCAGATGCGCATAACATGAGCCAGAATATACGCGTGTCCTCATCATGGATCAGACTAGTTTTCCATGGGGACAACATGGCTCAGTGGTTAGAGCGCGAATTCACTAATGCGCATAACATGAGCCAGAATATATGCGTGTCCTCATCATGGATCAGACTAGTCTGCCATGGAGACAACATGGCTTAGTGGTTAGAGCGCGAATTTACTGACCAGATGGTCTGAGGTTCGAACCCGACCTATGCCTCACGACTTCCCCTGTTCCCCCAGGCTTGAACAACCTGGCAGTATTCCAGCCCTTATGCTTCCTTCTGGTGGCATAGCAGCTACGCACCGAAAGAGTGGTACAGCTGAACGGTTTCTATGTTAGTGATGAGGAAAAGGAGGAAGAGGAATCCGAGGAGGAAATCGAAAATCTATTCGACTGTCGCATTAACTTCTGGGTTTGAATTTCCATTGTACAACTAGTTAAGACAAAATGAATGATGGCGGTCTTCTATAACTCTAAATGATTTTCCAAAAGGGTTTTCGGGTTGCCCGTCATCTTTTCTGCCGCAGGCTTGTTCGAACGAGTAAAAAATTATCCCAATTAATGTCATAAGTAATACTTGCCGACCTTATCAGAGCATGAGATAGACAGATGGACTTAGAATGAAATTTGTGTCTCCGTTGCTCTTCAGGCCTGCAATTTAATGTTCCCATCTCAGGGTGAAACAATTTTCCCCTACCACTTACACCAACACTGTAAACGAAAACAAAGAATACGGACCCGAATAAATCCCGAATCAATGATTCAAGACTCAGTGAAATGCTTTCATATTCATCCTCAGTGAATATGCTAATGATTAAAACAGACATGTTCGTACGAACATGTGGTGAACAAAGACAGATGGATTGAGTGAATTTAGGGGAACAGGGCCTCATATGGGACCAAACCGGTGATGAATTATTTGTCATTCTCTTCATATGTCCCACAAAAAGTGCTAATCTACACCTTGGTGGAAAATGTCCTCACACGAGCTTAGCGACATTAGTTTAGGGGGAGTTTGGCCTAACTAGATTTCAAAATCACCAAAAACAGAATGCTCAGCGGTTAATCACATTTTCGTATTTTTTCCAACCTCATTCAAAGAGAAAAATGCACCAAAGGTGCATGTCATTCCTCTCGTCTGCACGGCACCTTGCTCTATTCTGTTGCATGGCTTTAGTCGGTTTTCTGCCCCCTAAGAATGGGCACAGTGATTTATCTGCTTAAAGACCGTTTCTGCAGGCAAAATATACCACTGCAAAGAGGAATTATGGGATGTTTGCTGTGGTGCCTGGTCTTGACGCATTTGAATTGAATGATCACTGTCAGTCGTCAGCCTCCAGTGGTCGATGAAGAACCTCTTCAGGAAACACTGACAAGCCGTTTGCTTGACATTGAATCCAGTCTACTAGTTCTTGAAACAAAGCCACTGTGATATATTGGATTTTATTCGGAGTGAATCAGCTGGCGTGGGTTCTCACTAATTAATACGAATTTGACTTACAAATGACTTCAAGGCTGGAGGTAAGAAATAAGATCGCTGAGAATCCGGGGTTAAGTCTCCCTGATAGACCTTAACAGCCGAAAAATAATACGACCTTTATATAATGCATTCACTAAGCGAATGATATAAGCGAAGGCGTTAGC